TTGATCGATATAATATGTAATTCATTATGCTTAGTGAAATTTCACAGGAAACTATGTTCAACATTGTTTAGGCAATGTACTGTGATATATGGTTCACTTTTATATCAGGTGTGATTTCTCTCACTCGTATATCAGGAGTTTTTGTAAAGATATATAAAAGCATTATAGTTTGAATTTGATCGATTGTTTTGTCGATCACATTGATCTGAATAAATGTAGGAACTTCTTCCTATTTTTCTAGCACATTTTCCTCTGTGCCTAACACATTGTGATATAACTTATTTTCATATTGCATGTGTTTGAACATTTTTATCATTATGTTGTACGTCTTCAAGATTCGAATTTGATATGATTACATGCATCAAATATACGTGATTGATGACAGTAATTAGTATTTTACAAACGCTGCCGTTGCGTACCATTAGCATTCATGGAAATTGTTTGCACGTGGGCGTACGGATAAAATATCTTCACCCTATCCGCACGCAATGCACACATACGGATGTATACGTACAGATAGGCTTTGGCATATTCATACGTACGTATACGTACGGATAGGCTTTGACATATTATACGTGTGTATATGTACAGATAGGCTTCTGCATATCTATTCGTAAGTATACGTACGCATAATATGTCAAAGCCTATCCGTACGTGTACGTACGTGTGAATATGCCGAAGCCTATCCATACGTGTACGTGCGGATAGATATGGGAAAGCCTATCCGTACGCAAATATATTGTTGTTTATTTACGTACGGATAGCATTCTTGGTGGTTATTCGCACGTAAACGTACGGATAAAGTGCCTTATCGCTATTTGTACGTATTCTTACGTATGCACGCACTGCGTGCGAATAGACACTTCCTAAATAATAACAATCAAATCCACCCTGGATAATTATTGCCATTTAGATTTGTATATTGCGGGTGACTACGAGTAAGTGACCACCCCTGTGACATCTCATTCACTCGAGATAAAATGATGTGATTCAGAGGGTTCAAATTACATCCCATTTAGCATTCATTGATTTGATCTCGCATCCTGAATAACTAACGGTTTCAGTAGATATGACCTCAACCATCGTCCACCAACTTGTGATTTCCAAATAGGCACCCTGTATATTTTCACATTTCTGGATTCAGGAAACCATTTCACATACGGTTGTATGATTTTCACAGAAAGACATCATAGCCAACTAGACTCATAATAATCTCTCTTTTTCAGAATTTATTATTTTGTTTCTAATTGTCAATCGGGTATTGACTAATTCGATATATAAAATAATCCTATTAAGAATATCCTTTACCTGGCACACTATCATTTCAGTTATATGATAACTCGGAGTGCCGAATATTGGCAAGAGAATTGTGGAATAGTATGATTAAAATGTTCTCCTTGAGATGGAACTGGAACAAAAACAATTCAACAGCCCTCTGAATGCAGTCACATGAATTAAATTGAAAATTGTCTCTAGGAACATTTTCACCTGGAAATTATACAACTGTATATGTAAAATAATGATGTCCTGAATGCAATAATGTGAAATTTTGAATAAATAAAATCAAGAGTTGGGGCCATTTTCGGCAATACTGAAAGTATAACTCGAGAAACATAATCATATCACTGAATGCAAAATATACTGTCATGAAGTGCTCAAAGAAACAAGTCGACCACTGAAAATTTCGACAGTTTTCAAACTGCCATATATTTTTAGAAAATGAATGAATTTCCAATCGGAATACAGTGCTTGGAAGTTGCGATTCTTCTGTTCAAGATTCCCTTTTCATTTTTTGGTTTTTATCGCATCATTTCCGATTTCATGAAATTATGCAAGGCACATTCAGAGTATTTTGCTATTCTATACGATGAAACACATCCTAGATAATGGATTTATATTGCGTAGGAATCATCGACATCTTCAACAGACATTTTTTTTTTTGAAAAATGTTCAGAATTTGGTGAAATCGTTTGTTTACTTTGGTGCTGCCATAACCATATGCTAATGCTTAACACGAATCCTCCATTTGGATCGATTGCTCTGCTCAATATCTGGAATTGATTTCGTGATTTTTCAGATAAGGCAATCCAAGGAGGTGCAAGGGGGCCGACCTCTATGGATTTTTTCGACCAATTTATACAATAACGAGGCTGCAGTAGTTTCGAAATATTCCTGAGCTGGCATGAAGTCAAGAAACCTATTTATCACAAGAGTTTTCATCGCGTAATCGAAAATCGATCGAAAAAGTCGATTTATTGATATCACCACTGATTAACGCAATTAGTACCACTGAAACACCTAATATAATGCCTCCTGTCGAACCTTTGACAATTTTTTTCGTCCTACAACAATATCTCTGCTGGTATTATTGTACTGAAAAATTATGCCGGGATTGTCTCGAAATGAACTGGAAAATGCTCTCAAACTTAAAGCTCCGCAATTCTCAAAGCAGATATGTGCAAGTTCTCGCTAGACGGAACTCCAGAAACAATGCATCCTCATTGGGTGGAGACCTTCGACAAGCTGCAGGTTTGAACGTCAGTTCACAAACACGCCGCAACACACTTCATAAAAGAAACCTTCGTGCTAGAAGGCAGGAGAGCTGTCCGTTTCTAACAGCACATCATAGAACGGCAAGACTAAAATGGGCAAGACAACATTCAGAATGGAATATGGAATGGCGGCATTGTCTATTCACGCATGAATGTAGGGTAACAAAGCATCAATCTGATGGCAGGATATTGGTTTGGCGCCAACCAAACGTTGACCATGTGTGCGAAAGTTGCTTTTGGTGGAGGTGAGCTAACAATTTGGGGCAGTGATTCATGGCAAGGAAAAACAGATCTCGTCATTCTGATGAGGACTATTCATACAAGAGTTTATATCTAGCTATGTCTTGGCCCTATCATACTTCTGCCAGAAGCTATTGTTCGCGGAAACGAATTCGTCTCCATAGACGATAATGCTCGTCACATGGAGGGGCCAGCTGATTCCCCGGACATGAACGTAGTTGAACATGTTTGGAGTCGACTGAAGCTATGAATATTACGAAGGCAACGAGTTCTAGAAGATTTGGATCATTTAGAAATTATAATTCGTGTTGAATGGGTCAGAATTCCAGATTTCATTCGATGCTGATAAAATCAATGCCTCGAAGATGTCAATATTTTTTACTGACGAGGTGTAATGTATGTAATGATGATGATTAGGTACTAGTGCGGTATAGTAACACTTTACAGCATTAGTGCGGTTAAGTATCTCATTACGACACTGGAATCAGTGTCGAAATGTTCCACATTACATATTGATAGTAGGTAAAACATATAACCATTCGTTCTTGACCATTCTGCTATTCACTCCATGTCTATGTGATGTTTGTATGGTTTTCTTCAGTTTCCTTATATTGGAAAAATTAATCAAATTATCAACCTGTTCGCTCTTCCACCAATGCTTATACTCACATTTGATAATAATATATACTCTCACACTTAACCTGATTTATTGTAAAGAATCAGAAAATATAATCGACAACTGCATTCATCGACACAAAAAAATATTTCATATAATCATAACAATTCTATGGTATTATTTTATACAAAAAACAATCATCCCAACAGTGCAATGGCAATTCAGCTTACATCATATCATTAATTAAATACACCAATAAAACAAGGATCTTAGAGAAAAATCATAGTATATCAGAGAAGTTATAATTTGAGAGCATGGAACTTCAAAAAATTTGTCATTCAATATTTTCTCCACTTCGTACTCCGATTAGTGGGTGTGATGGATAAGAATCGTGTTATAAAACTTAACGGCTTGATAGATGAAGGATTCTCGAAACATGATAATGATTTTCACTACATGTGAGTACTTCCAGTGCCTCCATACTTTTATATACAAATTCATAAAGAGTTACCGAAATCGCTCAAATTATTGCATGCAGAAGAACCCAAACTCAAACTCAAAGATATTCTTATATCAGAAGTATATTATACAACCGAAGAGTATTTCTATGACAGTTGGCAACTATAATAGTTATTTATGCAACAAGTGCAAAAAGTGAATGTTTATTGCATTCGACGTGAAATTGTCCGACGAGGCCGTTAGGCCGAGTTGGACAACACGTCGAGTGCAATAAACAATTTTTGCACGAGTTGCATACAACATTTTTTCTACGTTCATGCAAAAAGCAAAAAATGATTTATTGAGGTTCGGCACTAGGTACAATTCTGTTGTCAGAATTGATTTTTGACTGACGTTTCTATAACCACAGTTGCATTATAGAAAATGTTTGTCATGATGACAGCACGTTGAAGTAGAATGACAGATGAGTGCAATAAAAACTTTATTGCACTAAGTGCAATAAAGAACTTTTTTTCCACTAAATATAGTTCAATAAAGTTCTGTTTTTTGCAAGAATGTAGAAAAATTTAATTCAAATACATCTGAGTACATCATTTATGTGTCATTTCCGTCTGTGCATTGATGTCCTACATACACTTTTGCAATATTTCTGTATTGGATTTGTACTATCATTATTTTATATTCTTCTGTTCTTTTTGTGTACCTCTATGTTATGTAATGACAAGTTCTACGCCTATTTTCAGACTTTGATTCCAAAGAACATATAAAGATTATTCATCTATTCATAAATAGTATTATTCATCTCTTGCAGAATGTAAATGTTAGTTTTCTGCTAAGAGACCAAAACATACAACTCAACAATTCGAGGCCATTTCGTAGTTCACAGATCAATTTGTCACTATATTGGATTGAACAAATGTTGGAAAGAGTCGTCGTAGACTTGAAATTAATAACAAATCTCTAGGAATACACAAAATTGTATCTATTCAATATCAATGTATTCTGATTACTCACTCATGAAGACAAGTTTCAAATGGCAATGAATTATGTTTCTCTGCAATTATCGTTTATTTCCATTCTGCTATGAAAATGAGTAAAACCTCGCTAGAAGAGTTATCGGTATAATGACTCACCTTTAGTCTAATTGGAGTAAGTATCTGCTTACACGTGATGGGATAGATGATGGCAAAATATCGCTCCGTACATATCACAACTAGAATGAAAATACTGGCCGTATTGCTCAATGACTGGATGAACATATACATTTTACAGAGGAACTTCTCCAACATCCAACTGAAACAAAAGAAACTGGTATCAAGATAGGGTTTCATTTAGATTTCCGCGCTTTTGTTTCCGAAACCCACCAGTCTCGAAATCTGAGGAAAATTTCAGATAGAGATCGAGGCTAAAAATAAGATACATCATGGAGTGTGAGTACCAAGGTGGGTACAATATCAAAAATATATTTATTTCTGACAGTGACATTATAAGCTTATATCGTCATAGTTACGATATCTATTATGAGGGTCATAACTCCCTTGGGATGTAATAGATGCTATAATTCCCTCTAGCTAAAATTAAATAAGAAATGCATAGCAACAACCACGCAATAACGTAGCAATAAGGAATCTCCTATTCGCGGTAGTCAAGATCATCATCTGACGTTCTGATGAAATTGAAACTACAGGGAAAAACATGTCTAACTTCCAATCGGGAAGGTATCTAATGAATGAAATCAGCCAGAAATAAAATTATCTATGTATCACGGGAATTATAGAGCCTCAATAACCTCTGGCAATTGCTGTCCCTCGGGCCAGAGGCCCTCGGGACGCAAACTCTGCCATCGGTAATTAAGGCCCTCATAATTCCCTTAATACATAAATAACTATTAATCTCTTATCATACCTCCATTAGTTTCATGATTTAAATATGATTAGAACTTGCGTTTGATTCTCGACAGTTATTATAAATCATCAACATAAAGAAATACATTTCATTGCAGAAATCACGACTATTGACCATCGTTACTTCCAATACCGAGTTCACGAAATGAATCAGAAAAGCGTCTTCGATCTGATAGCAAATTCAGTATTAATACAATATTAAAATCATCTGTAATAATACGTACGTTAGCTTCAGGATGTAAATATGATAATTGAACTAATAACATTTCATGTCATTCTAAGAATCAAAAAGTATAATGAATTAACGATGACGTTTGTTATCATATCAAAATGGTTATTTTCCTAACAAGTGCGCAAATTGTTACTTTTCCGCACGTAAATACAGTTAGGCGAAAGACGCGGAGCGGTGTTCGGATAGGTTTTTGCGTGCGGAAAAGACACATGATTGAGAATTTTCGAAATGTTCCATAATCCTTCAACTTGCCATGAAGTAACCTGGGAGGATATCTTGTGTGCATCAGCTAACTAACCATGCAAGGCTCACCATTAACTTACGATAATGAGTTAGCAGGTGAAAAAAGTAGTTATTTATGTATGAAGGGCGTAAAATAGAACTTTATGGGTCGTAGCGGGTATGTATAGAGAGCCTGAGCGATATCGAGAACTATGAATACGTCAAGGTCAATAAAATACAGCTTGACTGCTTGACCATTCTAGCTCGACCCCTGAGATGCACAAACGATATCGGCAAAGTCGTATTCTCAGATACTCATTCCTACGACATAATGGGAAGAGCGACATCTAGAACAGGAGGAAAGAAACAACCCAAAACTGAAATGTTTATCTCGATGGTGGAAGGGTGTGGCTGATTGTCCGACGGGCGTCTATTCAACTATGGAATAGTCAGAATGCCCAAAATGAAATGAAATGGCGATCAAAAGAGAAACCTCCAATCCATATCCATTACGGTCACAATTCGATAAACGCGAACACTATCACGAATATTAAGGGAAAAAATAGATATTTTTGCATCTAGAGCGCGAAATGCTACTATGGTGATCGAGATCTGATTTTTTCAGCCGAGTCAAAAGAAAATGGTCGAGATGACCAAAGTATTTCGCGCTCGATTTGCAAACAAAATTTTTCGTACAAACGTCAAAAAATATAGTTCTAAAGTTGAAATATGCTTAGCTTGATCAAAAAATAGTGTTGAACTGGCTCAGAAGGCCTCTCCCTATCCTCCCTAGATACGCAGAAACATATTTTTTCTACAAACGTCAAAACATGATAAGGTTCGCGCATTGATAACAAATTGCGAAGTGACACTTTTTTTCAGTTTCCTACGTTACCATGATACCTTGCACAAAACAATGCGCGAAGTAAAACAGTGCGCGAAGTACTTACTTCGCGCATTGTTATGTAAAATATATGAGAGATCTATATTTCAACTTCATGGTCCTCAATCGAGCAAACATTCACGAAATCATTCATTTCTGAATGTTCAACAATAACTTTGTTCTATCTCTTGGAGCGCACAGAAGGAAATTCCTAATATGTTCATGGAACATCGTGCGTACCTAGGGAGGATAGGGGGACGCCTTCTAAGCCAGTTCAACACTAATTTTTATATCAAGCTAAGAAAATTTTTACTTTAGAACTATATTTCTGACGTTTGTAGAAAAAATTTTTTTTGTAACTCGAGCACGAAATACTTTGGTCATCTCGACTATTTTTTCAACTCGGCTACGCCCCGTTGAAAAAATCAGATCTCGATCACCAAAGTAGCATTTCGCGCTCTAGATACAAAAATAACTATAATAGCAGCTTGACAACACGAGCACTAATCAGTACCCAGGTAGCCAGACTGACGAATGTGACGTCTGTAGGACCGCTATCTAAGGTCTTTTTTGGTCTCATACGTCTTTTGACCAAATTATGACGTCATGCGGACGTCATTAATGTGACGTCTTATGGACAGCCACTGTTTGACGTCGTATAGACGTCAATCTATGGTCTTCATATTTTTTTGGGTATTATTATCATTATCATTATTATTATTACTATTATCATTATTATTTTTATTATTATTATTATTATTATCATGTATGTATAGGAAAACCAGGTTATAAAATGAATTAATTTATTTATCTAAATAACTGTATAAATGTATGATGAAAATGTACTTCATTCCATAGGCTTCCCTTGATTTTCAATGTTTAAATTTAGCGCCAAAGACAATTCTCACTTACCGACCAGATGGCCAATGGCGATCAAGTAATTACGCGAAGAGATTGTGTATGCGACTCGCGACCATCTTGCGACTGCCGTTAGTGGCGTTAGTGCCGTTCAGCGGTCCGTTCTGTGGTTCAGCGTCAAGCTTGCATCGTGCATGGTGCGTTCACGTTCATGTTCATTGTCCATCGTCCATGTTCGAATAGGTTTTATTTGTGAACGGCGTCAGTGCCATTGAATTTGTTAAGAATGTTGAAATATTGAGTGTTTGAGTGGTATTTCTATACAGTCTGTTTTTCACGTGAAAATATTCAGGATGTATTGTGTAATACAATTTGATGACAGTGGAAGCAACAGAGTGTAGCTGTTGTTCACGAAACTTGGCTGACGCCGTTGAAAAAGAAAGTGTTTTGGCCGCCATTTAAAGACAGCAAAACATACAAAAGAGCTCTCAGTGAAAGGGAGCCATCGACGCTGAAATTTTCAACTATTTATGTAATACCTTACATTACTATCTTGTTAATAAAATCTTCATTCGTAGCAAATTTATTTCATAGCACAAATGATTACCTTCCTCACCAGATTATGCACATTAACCTCAAAATTTTATAAAAAAAAAAACAGACGTCTTATTGACGTCGGAAATTGGTCAGTAATGTCAGTTTAAGGTCCAATTTGAAAACACATACTGACGTCTAAAAGACTTTCAAATATGACGTCATTTGGATGTGTCTTACTTACGTCATTTGGACGTCGCATTTGTTGAAATAAAGACGTCTTTTGGCCGAATGTGATGCCGTCAATTAGACGTCATATAGTCGTCATGTGCTACCTGGGTATTTTCACATATCTGTGATAGCCGGTCACTGACATACGCACATTCCACTGGTCAGTAGAACATCTTTGAGTGCTAGACCCCCAACATCCTTCACAAATTTCCAGAACATGAACAACAATAGTAGATCACGAAAACAGAACAATAACTTTCATTACTCATACTATGCAGAATATCGAATAATAATTGATGCCGATGTATTATTCAGACTTTGGTCATGTTGACTCTTGACACCTACACACCGGTTTTGAGCTGTTGGTACTCATCAGTCTATGCAAGTCACTAGCCAGCAGCCCTGGGGCAGTTAGATTAGCGGAACCTGACTCAAAAATAATCCAATGGGCATATTTATTGTAGTATATTCGTTTCAACTCATAAAACTATGAACTTATGAAAAAAATCTCCAGAAACCATCGAATTCTATTCCACCCGCTACAGCTTGATGGAGTCACATAAGAAATTGTAATTCAGGTCGAGTTTTTTCATGAGTCGGAATGATCTAACAATTTCAGATATTACAGCTACGAATAGCGGTATAAAAGGAAATAAACGCATGCCTATTATAGGGTCTGCGCCAAGAGACATTGCAATCAGAGTGAGTATAATAGAGTGATCATCATCAGAGTGTCGTATTATGGGCTTCTGGGTTGTCTGTGAACACGCTGGCTCCTAAATCCAGTGCAAACAAAATCTGATTTTTTCACACAAAGAGGGTTTCATCGATGAGATCATAGTAGAAATAAGGTATGCTTCGGTTTGATAGAAGCAGATGTTCGGGAACAAGAAACTTCAAGGATTTTGAGATATCACTGGCAAAATCCACTGAATAATTTCATTGCAAATTTATTTTCGTGTCATTACATAAGGTTATTGAAATTGAGAGTTTCACTTCTTATTATAGTTGCACTATGACTCGTTTCAATACATGAAGTTCTTTGGCTGAAATTTTTGATTTCATGAGATTTACAGCGTGTCTCATTTTGAAAGATTTCTCTCAGTTAATAGTCGTGCGATTCTTAGAGTGATCATCATCAGAGTATCGCAGTATAGGCTTCTGGGTTTTCTGTGAACTTGCTAGCGCCTAAATCCAGTGCAAACAAATCCTGATTTCTTTCCACATGGAGGGTTTCATCGATGAGATGGTTTGAAAGTTATAATTGAAGCAGATGTTCGAGAACAAAACACTTCAAGGATTTCGAACTTTCACTGGCAACATTTACTGAATAATTCCATTCCATATTAGGTTTCGTGTTATCGAATGAAATGTGTTCGAAATTGAGAGTTATACTCCTTACTATAGTTGAACTATGACTCGTTCCAAT